GTCACAATCGTGTAAGGGATGCCTAAGTCTCCCCGCCCCACTTCCTCCTTCCTGGAAAGTTGGGGGGCTTTAACAGTGGGGCATCATGAGTGGTGGCAAGGTCAGGTTTTGACTGGATCCAGGGGAGGTGGGAAGGCAAACAGTGGGCAACACTCAGCATTAGAAGGGCCCTTGTTCCCGAGCCGACAAGGGAATGACCTTCTGAAGGTGAGAGTGATGGAAGCCAATGCAAATTCTACCTCTTCCCAAGCTACCTTGTCCCCATGAAGCTTTCAGGACAGCTACTACCAGCTACCACTGGCCTGCAGGCTCAAGACCCCCTGGAGGGTGGTGGGGCAAATTTGTCCAAACTCCCTGGAAAGATAAGGCTTCAGAGATAACAGCTCTGGCTCACCTCACCTCTGAAAGCCACTGACGATAACGAACCTTTTCCCAAGAACCAACTGTGGCAGGATGAGGGGGACCCGGGAAATAGGGAAAGAGGAAGAGCTGTTGGCACCAGATCCGTGCCCAGAATTCTCCACAAAATGATTTCAGCCTGACAAGGCAGGAAGAGCACAAGCCGGAGTGAGAAAACCCAGGTTTGCGTTTGCACCGGACTGCATTTTGAGTATTTGCAAACTCAGGCCCAGTGAAACGTCAGTGGAGCCCTCCCGCATGGCTCGTGGTAAGGAGCACGGGAGAGAATGGGAGAGAAAATGCTGGGAACATTCCATGTAAGCAGTATCACTATTAATCGGGTGCAATCTACCCCTCTTTGGTGAATAGAGGAGTTCTTTAATTCTGCGCCCCGCCCCCGGCCCAGGGCATCAGCCATGGCCTCCCCCACCGTATTCCTGATATCGCTGGGGCTACCTGGGGAGTAGATAATCCCAGAACACGGCTGAGGGTCAATCTTTATGCATTGAAACGTCAGAAGAATATCACCAACTTCACTGCGGTGAACAAACAGCAGGGAAGATACATTTGCTTTGTCTACATCGGGGTTTCTCAAACCTTGGGCGGCATAATTCCTTGCTGTGCCTTGTAGGATTTTTTTTTTTAAAGATTTTATTTATTTATTTGACAGAGAGAGACACAGCGAGAGAGGGAACACAAGCAGGGGGAGTGGGGGAGAGAGAGAAGCAGGCTTCCCGCGGAGCAGGGAGCCCAGGACCCTGGGACCCTGACCGGAGCCAAAGGCAGACGCCCAACGACTGAGCCACCCAGGTGCCCCGCCTTGTAGGATGTTTAAGAGCATCCCTGGCCACTACCCTCTAGACTCCAGGAGCACTAACCCCAGTTGTCATACCCGAAAATGTCCCCAGAGACCGCCTAAATTGGGGGGGGTGCAAAATCACCCCCAGCTGAATACTACTAGTGTACATAAAGAAATGAGGGCCGGGGGTGGGGGAGATGTCAGTTCCCCGGCATTTTGTTGCTGCAGAAAGATTTCAGAGGGGTATAAAAGCGGAAAGGGACGGTGGTGACAGTCTCGGGGCATGAATGTGGCATCTCTCACCTCTCCAGCTGGAGGGCTGTGACCTCCACAGCCAGTGGCCACCTCCACGCTTGTCATTTGGGGGATCTGGGGAATGGGACAGAAGGCGTTCCTTGGATCAAAAGCTAATGCCATCCGATATCACTAGCATTTTCTACATCTTGTGCTGGTGACAAGGGCCTGCCCTGCGGGGAAAACCAGCAGTTTAAAAGAAAGAAGGCGGGGCGCCTGGGTGGCTCAGTCGTTAAGCATCTGCCTTTGGCTCAGGTCGTGATCCCAGGGTCCTGGGATCGAGTCCCGCATTGGGCTCTCTGCTTGGCGGGAAGCCTGCTTCTCCCCTCCTTCTCCCCCTGCTTGTGTTCCTTCTCTCGCTATGTCTCTCTCTGTCAAATAAATAAATAAAATCTTTAAAAAATAAAAAAAATAAAAATAAATAAATAAAAGAAAGAAGGCTCTTTCTCCTAAGAAACCGACGTTTGTTAATAATACATCCCCAAACTTCATGTCAACAAAGGGAACCTCTCACTGCAAAGAAATACCGGCCATCCAAGGGGATGTCAGCAGCCTCAAGATCTGATCTTTTTTTTTCCCCCAAAGTAGCATATGGACCACAAAATCTCTCTCCGTGTAAGAGCCCATGAGAAACTCAAGTCAAGGCTTTTGTTCTTTGCTTGCCTTCTCTGTAATCATTCTGCTAAAGCAGAACAGCAAAGTTACATTGCTAAAAAAGTAAGTGTAAAAAGAATCTTGGTTCTGTTCTAAGCATTTCCGAATGGCTAACAGGAAAGGTGAAATTGGACTACAATATCGCGGCTCGCCGGGCCTCGGCCAACCTCCAGTCCTTGAGGGAGAAGAAAGGGGGTAAACACCGTCTGGGAACGTTCCAGAGTTGGATGATGCCAGAAATTTCCCAAGCCGGGCCACTCCTTTTGCCCTTCCCACCCCAAATTCCAGCCTCCTGCTTTTACACGGCAGCATTTAAACCAAACAAATCAGGAGCTACAATGTGACTAAATTTCTGGACAAACAAAAATTACTACAAAAGGGAAAAATGAACCACCACCAATATAGGTTGTAGCCCACTGTTTGGACTCACCTGCTAAATGCTACCCATCAGCACAGATTAAAACAAAAGCCTGCCACATTCCGGGCAGACACTGCTCTCCAGGGGCGGCTCAGCTGGAAAGTGTGCTGGAAATTCAGTGGCGTGCTCTGGTCATTTCTAAATACTCTCTAGAAGACAAGAGTTCAGGTCAAGTGAGAGCACGTGGCTCCATCACTTGACAAAACCCCACAGCCAGGGAACAGGTGTGGCCTGCCGAAAGCAAACAAAAACTTCTCTCAAACAACAACAAACAGTTAACACCCTCAGCCTGTCAACACCAATTAGCCTGCCCTCCCAGCAGAAGCCTCTTAAGACGGATCCTGAAATCCAGCTAGGTCCTCTGCAAGCAGAAGTGGTCATCGCATGGCTTCCCCCAAGGAAGTGACCCTCAGTGGAAACTTACACCAGCAGGCACAGCCCTTAGGTCCCCTCTACCCCTAAGGGGCCCCGCTGGGTGGGATCCTAACTTTGCTGGACCCCAGGCACTTTTCCTTTCCTGGGTTTCTTCCTGCATAATAATGTCGATATTAGAATTGATTTTTGATATAATTTTAAATACTTTAATATTTTATTCTCTTAGTATTTCAGGCAGACTTTAATTAATAGGTTCTTGTGGACCTGAAAAATTAAAACAGTTCCTTTGAATAAATTCATTTCCTTTGGGTTTTCTTTCTTCTAATTTTAAAAGAAATTAAGCATTTTCCAGCCCCCCTCCCGCCCCCCACCGGGAAGTATCACGGGTCCTAGGCACTGGGCCCACTGTGTCTCAGGGAGAAGCCAGCCCTGATTCAGTAGGAATGTGCAATTTTTTAAAAATACTGTCATCCATGGCCTGTACATCCACCTCAACACAACTCTGGCCTATCCTGAAAGCCCATCCTATCAATAAAATACTGACATAAAATGCCCGGGACGTATATACATTTTCACTCGTCTCTGAAGAGTGACTTACACAGGTGGACTCCAAGGGGCTTAAAACAAAAAAAACCAACTCAGCACACAAGATAGATTTTCTTCAATATTTTATTTATATAGAAATACTTAAAAAATGAAGTAGCACCATTACTTAAGTTTTACCTTTATTATGTAGAACTTTAAATGTCAGAAAAATAAAACTCTTGATACAATTTCAAATCTTGTCTCAGCAAATATAATATTAGTATTTGACCATGAGGTTAAAGGCCCTTTATCATAAAATAAAATATACTTTGTTTTTTAAACTTTGCTCAGTAAAGTACATTTAAGCTCAAGTAACGTCACCTACATATACATAAACAAGTGGTAAACAAATGTATTAAAATAGAAATACTAAAACTATAGTGGCCCAACAGAATTTTTGTAGCTTGCACTGAATTCTATTTATACAAATGTTAGAAAGCATCAACAGTTCCTTTTGACATGTTTATACATTTCCGTTTTTCTTTTTTTGTAATAATATAGAATAAAATATGCTTTATATCACTGAATAGAAAATATGCTGGGTGAAGCATTTCTAGAAGATTTGTCTGAACCTATAAAATCTCCATCCCAACAGAATACTGTTCAAAACATTACACATTTTATGGTTTTGTAATTCCGTCACGATTGTGTGGTTATTAAAATAATACAGTGTTCTTTGCCATAAGGCCATACTAAAATAAAAAGATTTAACCCAGCTACAAAAAAGTTCACTGAACTTAAATTAAAATACTTGTAAACATCTTTGCAATATGAAATATAATTTTTCAAGTCAAAAAAGAATAAAATACTTCAATCTGTATTAATGCAATTTCTCTTTAAAACTTTTAAACGTTTTTAATATATAAGAGATATGTTACAGTTTAACTTTTTATAAAGCTGCAGTATCCTGGCCCTTCCACAACATTCAAAAAGGATCCACTGTGTTCTATAATGAGCATCGTAGGAACCCAGCCACAAAGGGGAACACACTAAAACAGTCCACACATCCCATAAGCACTATTATTATCATCTTCATCATAATAATTATTGTTCATTTTTTTTTCCTACTTTAAGAAAATGGAAAACTTGTGGGGTTTTCTTCTTTTGGAAGCTTCCTATGAAGTACAGTGTAAAACCTATCATGACTAGAATGTCGCCGTTCCTATTATTTATAGAGCATGCATTTCAGGTGGTTTCGGGGGTTTCCCAGGCTATAGTACTCTTGATGCAGGTATCCTGGCAAGTTCCTTTGTTTAAAAAATTTAAATTTAAAAAAAAAAACAAAACGAGCGGATACTACAGCTTTCCAAGCTCCTCTGGGATCTCAGAGTGTGAGCAGGGGTGGGGGAGGAGAAGGTGGGGCACCAC